TTTTTTTCTCAATTTTGTTACTTTGTAAATATACGTAAAAATATTTGAAATGTTAACCATTGTTTTCATCGTGTTATAGATTATATCAACTGTAAAACCCAATATTGCTATTGTTACAAATAGGACTTTTATGTTTTTAACTTTACATTGAATTATTTATGGTAAAATATTTCATAAGAATAGGTTTTTATATAATTATATTAGGTAAAATTATAGTATGTCAGCATTATGAAGTTAAAGAAGAAAATACTGTCCAATTCTGTAATAATGGGCACCTGATGTTAAGTCAGTTTGTCTTATTAGGACCCACAACAAATTTGATCAAAAAAAATAATAATAATAATAATAATAATTGTTATTATTATTATTATTGTTGTTATTATTATTATTATTATTATTGTTATTATTATTGTTATTATTATTGTTATTATTATTATTATTATTGTTATTATTATTATTATCATTATTATTATAAGCAGTAGTAGTAAAATCACTATATCAACAAAATGATATTATGAAGAATGAAACAGTATAAATCTTGAAATGCTAAAATATTTTAAATTAAATTAAAGTAAGTCAAATGTTCAACTATTTGCTACTAAAAATAATAATCTCCTATGTAATATCTTAAATATATCTGTAACAAGTATTGTATTATAATCTCTAGGCAAATGACCCCATCTTGATCAGGTTTATTGTCCAGTTTCCCTGGTCCTTTGAGCAAATGCTGAGATGGCCCCTTGTTTTGCTTCTGGACAATAAAAATAAATGTAACTTCACTCACTACTCCCAAGAAGATGTATGCGATTGTACTCCCTCTAAATATATCATATTTTACTCGTCATACACGATTGTAATTGTATATGTGACTCAAAAAATATTATTGTTATTATTATTACTATTATTATTATTATTACTATTATTATTATTATTACTATTATTATTATTATTATTATTATTATTATTATTAGGAACTACATTTACAAAGAGAACATTGCGTATCCATATTGGACATGGACATATTAAATGCAAATATTGGGATGTAAGTAGTAGGACGTAGAAATGTTCCAGGACAACATAAACAATAAATACGAGACATTGGAGATTCCTAGGTCACTATAAACATAACTGTGGTTTGGGAGTGGACATTGTGGAAAATAAATTTTGATTCTGATACATCATACAACAAAATATATGGAATATAGACAGCTGGTGGTGGTGGTTGGTTTTAATAAAGAAATTAGGGTTGAGTCAAGATAATTGATAATTGTGAAACGAGTTGTAGCGAATAAAAAAAAAATAACAAAAATTTGGGAAACAAGAAAACCATGTTTATGAATGCACCAAAGTCATGATTTTGGGGAAAGACATTTGGTCGCTGATGCGAGCACATGCAAAGCTAACTAGAACATTTAGCTGTTGTGAATGAAAATAGTCTTGAGTAGGGACGTCCACCTGAGGCATTCACAAACAATTATGTCAACATTGTAAGATGGTTTAAAACTTTGGTTTTAAAACATTAAAGTGAACCGAACTTCAACATCAAGACAAAAGGTTACTGGTGGGAATGGTCATCTTCCCAGAAGATCCTTAACTTCCACAATGGGGGCTACGAGGACATCACTTTTATACACTGGAAGTGCCACGAAAAAAGAAAAGTGTGTGCAAAGCTTGTGATCAACTATTTCTCGCCCAAACATTCTGCCTTCACTCACAACTTGCCCCAATCTTGTTAGGTGCAGAAAGGATCGCCAACTAATTTCTACTTTACTTATCATTAATTACTTTATTATACACCACTAGTAGAATAAATACAAATTCTTTTTACTGTGCTATTATTTATTTTCACTTCTTGCATTAACAGGGGGAGGGGGAGTGTCACAAGCTTTACGTGATTATTTAGGAGGGTTCAAGCACACGTTACAAGGGGGAAACGGGGTATTGAAAATACTCCAAATTTGCGTTACCATGCGTAATTTATGGACAGCCGCTTGGCACTTACAATGTAATCTTTAAAAAAAACTGTCTTATGTATAACTGTAATCCAAGAGCTCCCTCCTTCGACCTAGAAACGTAGTCTCATTCCTTTTACTTTATTCTATGTTAAATAGTCAGTAAGGAATAAATGGTTGCTAATTTAATATCACACAATCATTATTCCCATTAATGATACCCACATTCAAACTATTTGAGATTAATAAATAATAATTGTAAAGTTATTATAAAAGATATTTTGAAATAATTTAGGAATTACAAGAGATAACATACAAAAGCAGCATGTAACACGCTAATGAAATTTGCTATAAGAAAGTAGTGTACAGCCTTAGTAGTGTATAAGAAAGTAGTGTACAGTCTTACATGTGCCTTCCCCACATCAGTTTCCTAGGTTTACCAGACATGTAGTTGAAAAAATCAGGACGTTTTTTATAACGACATACAGGTACAGTTTTTGTACTACTACAGAAGAAAGATCAATTTATATGTTAATTCTGAACTGTACGGCAGCTTTCTTATTAAGGATTCTTCCTATTTCTGTTTTGATGTTTCCCGTACAATATAAGGATAAAACATACCTACTATTCTTATAGTTAGAAACATTGAGTTTCACTGCTGTCACTTTTTTTCTCTAAAGCACTTTAATTTTTTGTATATTGTACGTTAGAAATATTAAAATTACAGTAAACAATGACACAGACTAAAATACAAGGACTTTTGAAAACACATCAAGACATTCAGGTTAAGGTCCAAAACTCAGGACGTGTCCTGATAAATCAGGACGTCTGGTAACCCTACAGTTTCCGCATGAACACTTCAATGTATCCATCTTATTGAAGACCTACCCAGATATATGAAACTTAGATGTTCAACCAATTTTTATTAAAAACATTTCAATAGGTTTCAAATTACATCTTAAAATTAAGTTGAAATATTCATCAGTGGCTACATTAATGCAAGTCCTAACCAATTCCATTTATCTCCAACTACACGGACGAAACCTTTTTCTTATGAAGTACAATAGCCTCCCAAAAATCATTAATATATTCTGATTAATGAATTTCAAACATTTGAAGTATCTTACACCACAGCAACTTGATAATCCCAAGGTGAATCATTAGATTTTGAATATAATGTGTCACTTAAATGAACATTAAATTTGGAAATATACAAAGAGAGAATTACATAAATACAACCAGTTAAAAAAAAAAATGAAAATAACTTTCAGAAAAATTACAACCTGCTGATTTTTTTATTAAAAATTTATTTAAAAATAAAACTTGTACAAATTATACTGTAGTGTTTATAACCTCAAATACGAAAATTGAGAACCTAACGAAACATTCGGGAACATCAAATCAGTTTTTTTACAATCTGTACTCAAACTGGTACATAATAACGGCATGGGCTTCGTTGAGACTACTTCTATACGTTCTAAATAACAGACGCAAAATAAATAGGCAGCGACCTTCTTAACAATCTTAACTTGATTAGTTTGATACAATTACGTTCTTACCAATGACGCTGGCTTTCAGTACTCTCTGAATGACCGCCTTCATTTTTACTTGTACCAGACAATTCTTACAAGTTACTAGCTCATTAGCACCTTGTGACACATTCACATTCCGTAACACTGAAGGTGTCTATGCGGATTGAATATTTTATTTTCAGTAACTACACAGTGTGACGACAAACGTGAAATGTTAAATAACTGTTCAACTCCAGAGCTGATACTTCCTACAGTCTTTATTTGATATCATAGAATTTTCATTGGTTATAAAGGCCTCTTTACACGGTGGCTTACATAGACCTACGACGTTTCACGTGTTGCGCCAGAGAGTATATATCGGTCGCGCCGCTATACGCGACTTTTTATCAAGCTTTACTAGATTGGCCGGTATTGCCATACATTAACACCATGGTACCATCCATGGTATTACTGGAAAACATCTGTCAAAGGTTTTTTACAAAGAAAGATATGCGCATGGATGAATACCAGGATCAGGGCCAGTTCACCAGGATATAGTACGCGCAAGTTTTCTTGAGCCCCGGAGCAAGTACCCCCACTTCACTGATATTGGTAGATTTAAGACTAAATAAACGCAACTAGCACTGTTGGCCCAATCTGATAACAAGAAATGTTCGCTTTCATGTAATAGAAATTATTTTGGATTGTAAAACGAGCCACAGATTTGTAAAATAGTTCTGTTGAAGAAATAACCAAACTCCCCACTTCACTTGCATCTAGCTACAATATATACTCTTTGGCTACAAGAGGGCTCAAGAAAACGTGCGAGGATAATAACCAACTCCCTATCTTTCCTCGTTTCTGCCCGATGGTGCTGCGCGGAGGCTAAAGGCCCATTCACAATCCAAACGTAAACATAAGCATAGCGCGTAGACATAAACATTACTGAAATATTCACAATGCCTACCATAAACGTTAACAAAATAAGCAAAAATAAGTTTCTATTGGGTGTGAGACTTTCTGGTTAGATGTGAGAATCGATTTCAAGATATCGACTGTGTCTATGTCCCATATGGCATTAGTTCTTCTATCGACTTCACTCCAATTTCGATTCTCGATTTTCAGTTACCGTTCTGTGATTGGTTCATTTCTTATGTCTTACGTAAGCATAAGCACAGAAGCTTGAAGCTTTTAAGTTAACGTCTTACGTGTTATGCGAACGCATTGTGAATGAGTCCGCTTATTGACGTAATCCTAACTTTTATGTTAACGCCACGCTTATGTTTATGCTTGAATTGTGAATGTGTCCTTTATGCAACTCTACCTTTGGCATGATATTATACAATTTCGTAATTTCATTAGTAATACCAATTTTGTATTTCAGAAGGTAATAAATAGTACACCTGCACAATTGCAACGTAAATAGTTGCTTGTAGATATGCCAAATTAATTGGAATTCTATGGAATACTACATTATTACAAGCATTATGAATGAACAATATGAACAGAATTGAAAAGAAACAAATGAAAATCTTACCTATGGCCATTTAGGCTAGAGTTCGTCCTTCAGGCAGGACGGCGCCCATGAGCCCTGTGACGCAAGCAGCTGTTCTTTCCCTTGGCCGTCTGGTGTATGCGGTCAGGCGACAGCGCGACCCTGGCTTCCTGCTGATCGTCCTCAGCTGGGTCGCCCCTTCGCAAGGCAGGTGAGTGGTGGCGTCCGGGGCAACGCCTGATCCGTCGTGCAGATGGTGTGGCTCCCGGTAACTGGTTGCGACTCGGCTCGTGAGTCGTGGTCTTGAGTTCGAGTGCTCACAGCGTCATTGCCCGGTGTTCGTCCTGGCCTGAACGACACTGAAGCGGTCCGCGATGTAGCGGCGATGCATTCGGGCGGCGGCGCGGCTGCGGTGTGGCGTCTCGCGGTGCAGCATTCGGCGGCGAGTGGTAACGCGTTCAGCGGCGTCCCCAGGGCCAAATGAAACTTTCATGGCTCTCGCCTCCCCATCGGAATCTAAACCTCTTGCTCTCGCTTCCTACATCAGAAGTGACCTGCTCGCTCTTGCCTCCTTCATCAGAATGTGAACTGCTTGCTCTCGATTCTTGCTTTCGAATGAACGAGCTTGTGAGCGTCGGCGATCTCCGTTGGTTTGTGGACTCACGTGGCCCTCCCCCGCTTCTTCGTCGGTGATTGGCAGGCACGCATCACGCGGTTTCTTCTGCCCAGTCGCGGAGACATCGGCGACCTTTTGGGCTTCTCAAAGTTTGGTTGAAATTTGACGTCACCCGAGTTCTTGGAAATTGTAGCGGTGAAATGCCGTGCTGGGAGCGTCGGCGTGCGTATTTCCTGTGAGTGAGTGTCGTCGCCCGAGGCTCGCCACTGTCGAAACAATAGAGCTCCTGGACTCAGCGGTCCCCGGCGCGTGTACAACCGCGCAGGTAGCAAATAGTGTCCTTTTCTTGTCTCCCTTGTCTTGGTGCTCAACAACGTTATGCTAAATAAAATCGCTATTTTAATAAAATACGCGTCGCAACCAGACACATGCGAGTGTCTCATTACAATATTTTCTGCGTTTTTAATGCATTTTTAATCTTTTAAATCTCATAATTACAACATATTTTACATTTTTAATGCATAACTATCCGGGCCCTAATAAGAATTAATTACTTAATGGCTATGGAATGATATATTATACTAAAAACGGTAATAATTGTTAATATTATACAGGTAATAAATATCAGGGATAGTGTAAGTAAAATATAAATTTTGGGGATTAGTGATAGTTATAAATCTTTCTCTGAAATGTTTATAGATAAACTTATTTTTTTATTTACAAAACCAATGTTTTATATTAAACTATTAAAACTTAATTGTTTGCATTTTTACTTTCTTACCTTACGAATTCTTCGCAAGAACAGAAAGTAATGTGACCCGATAGCGGAAAACGACAAAAAAAAAAAAAAGAATCATTAACAGACTCTGGCAACGAAAAAGGGGATAAATCCTGTTGCTACATTTAGGGGTAAATCCTCTAACACGTGGTGTAGCCAGAATCCATATTTTGTTGGTTCTTTATACCGTAAAATCGATTGATGGCAAAATATCCGTTTGTCGGTCCGCCTGTGGTTAACGCTACCGCCTAAACCGTTCAGCTGATTTTCTTCAAAATTCATATACCCTGATTGATCTCAACGGACTGGAGGCTTTGGGGGTTTCTAACGGATATTTTGATCGTTGAAGGTTTTTTTACATAAATCGGGCATTTACTTTTTTATAGCTTTGGCAGAGTTTGGACCATGCGGTGATTCTGTGGCGTAGTGACATGAATGCCGGCACGTTAACTCTAACGGTTTGAGTTCGAGTCTGTGCGCGGAAAAACAATTAGCTGCTTGGCAACCTTTTTGCTGGTTATGTAGTAGTGTAATATTGTGGAGCTTTTACAATGCGAAAAAGTATTGCTTTGACAGAACCACTAGTTTGTTTAATAGTAATGATATTTCGTTATTTTAGTGGTATTTTAATTTAATGTTCTAAACGAAAACATTTATTGATTAAATTCAGAGTTTAGAATATATAGTATTATTTACTTTTTTGTTAATGTGCTGTTTAGATGGAATTCAATATGAGTATTTTTTCCAATACATTATTTGGTGTTTGCAATTTATGGGGGTTCTTTAGGACTGGGAATTTTAATTTCTATAGTTCTCCCTCAAGGTTATGATTTTTATTTTTTGAATTATTGAGATGTTATAATTTACTTTATTCAGTAAAATCTGTCCAAGCCGGAATCGATCAAAACGACAACAAATTCCGGTATTGGGACGTTTCCGTTTTATGCAGGGTCGTCTATTTTATAGCAATTATGATATTGAAATAATTATATGAGTCGTATATATTTGTGTGTGGATTGAATGTATGGCCTGTCTGGATATTCGTATACTGGAAATAGAAAATCAATATCACACCAGATTAACGTAGAAAAACATTCATATTCATTTAAATGATAACTTACTGTATGAAAACAAACGCCATAGCCACCCTTCTACTAAAATTATTATTAGTCACTACCTCCACACCGCACTGTTCCGGGGCGGCATAGTAGACAGCGCATCGCAAGAACTGCGCAATACTGGCTTAAACATTATCGAGAGACGGGAGAATCCGGGAGGAAACTAGGAACGGAGCTTTGGCGTATTTCAGATGCTGCTCAAGATGAAGTTTTGATACAAGCAGCGGTGGAAAATCATTTTAAAACTTCTTCATAACTGCAAAGATCCACCAGATTTCCTGAATGTTCCACAATATGGGGCTGGATGTCATCTGGTGGGATTGGAATGATCCATAGAATCCAAGGCTACTTAAATGCTCCTCAGTACATCCACATACTGAGAGATATCATTATTACATCAGTAAAGCAATTGCATCCTGAGGGGATAATTCCATTCCAACAGGACCAATCACCGATTCATAAGTCGACTTTGGTTCAATCGTTTTTTTCGGAGAAACAAAATACTCAGGTTGTTGACTGGCCACCATGTGCACCAGACCTGAACCCTATCGAAAATGTTTGGGCAGAGACAAGACGCACCATGGCCGAAAACTGGCCTGATCCGGAATCTAACAATGCCGATGCGCTCTGGCAAATAATCCATGAAGCCTGGGAGGAGGTCGCTCACAGTGAAAACTATACTTCGAGACTTGTATATTCTCTCCCACGTAGGATGAGAATGGTCGCAGAATCTGGGGGGTTTGGATTTCTTATTAATATATTCCTTATATTTTCTAGAATAAAATATTTATAAATAAACAATTAATCTAAAAAATAGAATAACATTATAACAAATATGTAATTTGGAGAATTAAAAACAAATATTCATAGAAAGATAAAGAGCACTTATCAGAGTTATTTTGTTTTAAAATAAAAATAATACTTTATTTACACAATAGAGAGAGTATACAGTTCATTTGACAAAAAATTCACGGATATGAAAAAAAAAATAACGGTCACGCACTGGATTCGATCCTGCTGCATAGAGTGCAGAAAGAATCGATTCCAATTAGCCAAACAAACACTTTTCTAACTTAATTAGTTACATAAATATTATTGGGCCAAATTTCGGAACGTTTGACATGTCTCCTACATATTTCGACAATTACAAATAATGTTGATACATGTCATGTCTTGTATCACACGGTATTAAAACATGAATTACTGAAATACATATATATTGCATGCTTAGAGGGAGTCCTACCAACTATGGGCAAACCTCATAACTTCTAATCGGTTCCCGATATCGGCTTATATTTTCGCTCAACTATGCGGAATCAAGCGGCAAATAATATGGGGTAGAGATATTGTTTGAAATATGTTTAGTTTTCGACAAATTTAATCATCTTTGATTTTTAATTGGAACCATATATTTTTCTCACAAGCAAAGAAAGATCTTGAAAAGAGAATGCAGTGATGTAACATATGTTATTATTTTGATAGTATTTTTTGTATTTAATTATACTTTCTGCCCTGATATTTTAAATTAAAGGTAATTTTCTTCTTGTAGCTGCCGTCGCAACTATCGCTTTTGGCGAACGTGACCTTCGCGGCCTCTCCCCTCTCCCCGTAAAAGTGCCCGCACCACGGAGGCATCATTACCAAAAGGAGACAGTTGAAAGGGATGTATATTTACAGTTGAAATCTTATATATTTAATTTAAAATCTCATGGCGGAAAGTATAATTTTCTTCTCAAAATACTATCAAAGCATTAACATGTGTTACATCATTGCATTCGTCTATTTATGATCTATCTATTGCTAATGAGATAAAAACATGGTTCCATTAAAAAAATAAAGATGATTAAATTTCTCGGAAACTAAAAAATTTCGAACAATATCCCTACGGCACATTACTTGCTCCATCATTTCACATTGTTGAGCGAAAACTACATTTCGATTTCGTGAACCGTGTAGAAATTATGGGGGTGGCCCGTAGTTGGTGAGACTCCTTGTATACACACAACTGTTGAACAGATAACGAATAAAAAGAATAGAGAAGTTTGTGCATCCCCCGACAAAACATAAGGTTTGTTTTAATTTAAATTTTGAATATATTTTTTCCCACAACAGTTGAACTTATCCTGATGAATGGGTAACTGGACATATTGGAAATGAATTCAAGTTGCTAGAATTCTTTCTTGATGCGTGATTGCCTTCCTGATGTATCTTTTCTTGTCTTCCTGTTGATGGTGATTTTTTTTTATTTTACGAGCGCATTTTCATGGTCAGGTTTGGCGCTCTACGAGATAAAAACCATTTTATTTCTTAAAAGTAAAAATAATAGTGCAATATGTTGAAGTTCCTTTTCCTCTCGATTTACCTAAGCATCGCGCATGTGGGCGGTGTTTGGATCGCTTTCTGAACACTTTTGCCGGAAAAATCTGTCAACTGAGTTTAGCCAGTGACAGTGCCCAGGTATTATTAGGGACATATATACTTATCACATAGTGCCTTTTTTCAAATTTCGTGTGTAGAATGTGATTGCATTCAATTGTTTAGGAGCGACTTGCAGGAACAGTCATAACACTTGTCCCGCGCCTTCTTAACACTGGCCAGCGCAAAAAAATTTAGGCATTTTTGTTCAATCCTATATTTCACCAATATTTATACTCTCATTTACTCAAATGTATGTTGTTGTTGTTGTTGTTATTATTATTATTATTATTATTATTATTATTATTATTATTATTATTATTATTATTATGTGTTCATTTATCTAAGAAGTTGGTTTTCCATTATTACAGGTCTCAAAGCATTTAGAAGAATACTGAAGCTATCTCATGTTTGATGATGTTATGTATGATACCTGCCTCCGTATTGAGTGCGGAAAATCACATTCAGATTGTTTCGTTTCACAGAACTAATACGAATGACGAACGGATGCAGGCAATGCCCGATCGTTATCTCCGAATGCATCAAATGTCATTTATACTGGAATAAATGCAAAATTGTTCTAATCGGCGAATTGAGGGATCTAATTTCAAAACGCAACTTTTTCACCAAAAGTGAAAAATTAGATACTGGTTTCAATAGGGGTCCGTTGCAATTACA